GCTCAGGAGGCCGATTGAAGATTTGTAAAGATAAACACATGAACAAGGATGACCCCCTGCTCACCATCACCTACTACACAAAGGGAAAGGTGATGGTCCATGGGGGTGAAGCAAACTTGAAATCCTTTGAAGAAGTTTTCTCCCTGATCAAAGCTGAGGTGGACACCAAGAGGTACAATGTTCCGTGTGACAGTGAAGATGATGAGAGCCCAACAGAGAACCCCACCACCTTGTCCATCTCTGCCCCTCCCACACCTGCCAGCTTCACCAACCAGCTGAAGGAGAGTATGGCCCTGCTGGAGCTGGACTTTGCTGAATTCAAAGAGCTGACCCAGGCCAGGCTGTCTGCCCCCCTAGACAACATTGTGCAGCATCTTCAAGAGGAGCTCCAGCAGCTCAAGAGAGACAACCAGGCCTCGACATCTGAGCTAAGAGGAAGTGTAGAGGCACTAAAACAGGAGAACAGTGTGCTCCGGGCTCAGTTAGCCAAAGTGAAGGAGGACGCTGAGAACAGAGAAAGGAACGACACCTGACAGACCAACTCTCAACAGTCCCCACAAAGACAACTACAGAGACAGAGACACAGACTTTCCCTGCTAGTCTTCCAAACCCCTGCCTTGTCTCTGTCCCACCATCTCTGCTCTGCACCCTACCAACACCCACACAGCCAGCTCCCAACAGCCAACTCTGTCCATCCCAGCTGCCCTTCACTCAGCCTGAAGATCAATCCCCACAAGTGGTCCTGCTGGCTGACTCAAATGGGAAATTCCTGGACACCAACAAGCTTTTTCCTTTTAAGAAAGTGCTGTCTAAACGTTGCAGCACCACAGACCAGGCAATGAAGCTGTTGAGAAAGGAGACCCTCGGGAACACTCAATGCCTGGTGATCCACACAGGAACAAACGACCTGCACAACCTCCGAAGGGACACTGCTGAGGCAGTGAGGAAGATGGCGGAGCCGGCCACCAAGGAATCCCCTGGGACCTCTACGATGGACTCCATCTACACAGAGAGAAGGTGAATATCTTTGCAAAGACCCTCAAAGACACGGCCCTAGGATGCAGCCCTTCCACCCTCTCTTCTACCAGAAGCTTCAGAGACCATCACAGACCTCCCCCCCGCCCCCATCACCAGCCCCGGATCATCCCCCCTGCTGTGAGGAGACACACCAGCTCAGCCCGGACCCCACACTACCCACACGCCAGAACAGAACCAGCTGAGGCCACTTTCCCCCTCCTCAGTCCCTGCCCAACAACCCCTTATAGAGCATCGGCAGCAGAGCCATGGAGCAGCACGTCCCCCTCCCCACCCACAGCAGCAGAGCTATGCTGCAGCTGTAGCCCGGCCTGCTGTCACAGCCCCTCCCCCTGCTACCTGTGAGAGATATCGGGGGGGATTTTGGTGTGGTATAAAGGAGATCTTTGCAATCAGATCTCACCAGTAAAACAGGGTAAATCGCACATTTGGTTGAGGTTAGATCAAACCCTAGGCATAACTGATAGGGATCTATACCTCTGTGCAATTTACATACCCCTAGTGGATTCTCCTTATTTTGAAGAGGACATTTTTGACACCCTAAATTCAGAAATCGCCTATTTCCAGGCCCAGGGAAATGTACTTGTAACTGGAGATCTGAATGGACGTACAGGAATTGAACCTGATATCACTGACACACAAGGCAACAACCATGTATTCGGTCAGGCCCCACTGTTAACCACACCAAACATCACCTGTCGGAATAACCTTGACTCAATATTAAATCAAAGTGGCAGGGCATCTCTGTCTGGCCTTAGGCCTGTACATAGTTAATTGTAGGTTCAGAGGGGACTCTTTAGGGAGGTTCACATACTCCTCAGCTCCTGGGTCTAGTGTTATAGACTATGCAATCACTGACATGGACTCCTCAACTATCAGTGCATTCACTGTCAGACAGCAATCCCCCTTTTCAGACCACAACCAAATTAATGTGTTCTTTAAATTGTCAGGTCAAATTAGTGACACAAAAAGGGAACCCAGTAAGCTGTATGAATTAAATCCTTCTTACAGAAGCCCCAGAGAGTGGAGACAAATTCATCAAGGCTTTGAACTCCCCTGATCTGATGAATTACATATCAATACATAATCAAAATCAATATGTCCCTACCAGAGATGGGGTAAACAAGGCTATTGAGGATATCAATATGATATTTCATAAGGCAGCTATTAGGGCTGACCTCATAAAGCAAAGACGGAGACCTGTTAAAAGGCAAAATACTGACAAAAGTTTTGATCAAGAATGCAAACAATCAGAAAAGAGCTGAGAAAAATAGCAAATGAGAAACATCACCAACCGAACAACCCAGCCCTGCGCATTCGATACAATTAAATTTTGAATACATATAAATACACAATTAGGATCAAAAAACAAAATTATACCCAATTGAAACTTGAAGATATTGAGAATGCCATTAACCAAAATCAATTCTGGGATATGTGGAACAAGTTCAACACAAAGCAACAGCAGACATTACCCATCCAAAACGGTGACATCTGGAGATCACATTTTGCAAATCTGTACAAAGACATACCAATCAATCAAATCAATTCAGATCAGTGTATTATGAAAGAAAAACTCAAAAAATTAGAAGAAACAATTAAAGACAACCAAAACCCCCTTGATTTCGAAATTACTTGGGAAGAAATATCCACACAGACAAAATGTCTGAAGCCAAGGAAAGCTTGTGGTCCAGACAGCATTAGAAACTAAATGCTCAAAAGCAGCACCCCAGAAATGCAGGGTGCAGTGTTACATTTGTTCAATGTTATACTACAGGCAGGATGTTTTCCCAACATCTGGTGCAAAGGGCTCATTTCCCCCATTCATAAGAGTGGGGACAAATCAGACCCTAATAACTACCGTGGCATCTGTGTCAGCAGTTGTCTAGGTAAACTATTCTGTAGTATTCTTAACACAAGAATACTGGATTTCCTTGAGGAACAGTTAATCTTAAGTAAAAGTCAGATTGGCTTCCTCCCAAAACACCGCACCACCGACCATGTATATACCCTTCACACTTTAATCAACAAACATGTACAACAAACTAAGAATGGAAAAATATTCACCTGCTTTATTGATTTCAAGAAAGCTTTGGACTCTATTTGGCATGAAGGGCTCTATTACAGACTTTTAAACTGTGGTATAGGTGGTAAAATGTATGATTGGAAAACGTGTGCTGTTAAAACTGGAGACAAACTAACTGATTTCTTCCCCCAGAGAAGAGGCGTTCGGCAGGGTTGCAATCTAAGTCCGACTTTATTTAATGTGTATATAAATGAACTGGCTGTTGAGTTCGATAAATGTGCTGCTCCGGGCCTCTCCCTCCTAGATAGAGTGTTTTATGCTGATGACCTTGTTCTACTGTCTCTTACTGGACAAGGACTACAGCTACAACTGGACGTAGTAGAAAAGTACTGTCAGAACTGGGCCCTGGCAGTAAACATGAAGAAAACCAATGTCATGATCTTTCAAAAACGCCCCAGGTTTCATGAGAACAAACACCAGTTTACAATAATCAATAATCATGTCATGGAACACAGCATGAGTTATACCTACCTTGGTATAACCATAACAGCATCAGGGAGTTTCAACATGGCAGTGAATGCACTAAAAGACAAAGCTCGAAGAGCTCTATATGCAATTAAGAGAAAAGTTTATAATTTCCATATTCCAATAAAAATCTGGCTTCAAATATTTAATAGTGTCATCCAGCCCATTGCGCTGTACGGTAGTGAAGTATGGGGTCTACTCAGTCATCAGAGCTTTACCCGTTGGGACAAACATCCAACAGAATCTCTACATGCAGAATTCTGAAGATACATTTTACACGTACACAGAAACACACCAACAAATGCATGTAGAGCAGAATTAGGCAGATACCCACTGATAATTAACATTCAGAAGAGAATGTCACCCAAGAGCTGAGCCCAGAAAAGAGTCCCCTATGTCAGTTGGTACTGAGGCTAACTGCCCCCTCTCAAACACACTCTGACCAGCCTCACAACAACACTGCTCTACAAACAGTAATCAGAGTAAAGCAAATTATAGCACAATGTAAAGAAAGCTATCAGGACCATTGGGAAGAAACAACTAAAAGCCAGAGTAGATTGGAATGTTATCTTGCCCTTAAAAGAGATTATGAATTAGTAGAATATCTCTCCACTGTCAGAGATAGAAAGCAGAGACAGATCCTAACCAAGTACAGGCTCAGTGACCACAAACTGGCAATCGAAACAGGAAGACACAAAAAATCATGGCAACCAAAAGAAAACAGAAAATGTGGTCACTGTTCGACAGGTGAGGTTGAGACAGAGATGCACTTTCTCCTACAATGTACAAAATTAAATAATACGAGAAAAATGTATCTGAACAAGTTCAGGTCTTTGGTACCAGATTTCAAAGAACTGAACGACGGAGAAGGAGAGCGGGCACGCCTTGCTGCCCAGTATGTATTAACATGCCACAACCTGAGGGACAGTGAGTGATCGAGGCACACACACACCCACACCCACACACACACACACACACACACACACAGTACATAACTAATGTTCATAATGTATATATCTTTGATTTATTGTATTGTATTTGAATGCTTTGCTTTGGCAATATTGTTTTTTAAAAAACTTTCATGCCAATACAGCCCATTTTGAATTTGAATTTGAATTTGAGAGAGAGAGAGAGAGAGAGAGAGAGAGAGAGAGAGAGAGAGAGAGAGAGAGAGAGAGAGAAAAAGAAATATCTACTGTTGGAAGACAAAGGGGCACTGCGGCTATATGAAAGGTGCATGGAGTTAGTCGTGAGTCTGAAGCTCTTCTTGACCCATATTAAACTGCTTCAGGCCTAGTTTGCAGATTCAGTCACTTATGAGCACTGTCTTTGTAGAGACATAGGAAGGGGAGGAATAATTGTCCTTTGACTGGAGAACAAAAAGCATCTTAACAGTGAAAAGAGTGGGACATACGCTGGGATGCCAGCTCGCGCCAGCACTTCGGCCTTCATTGCGTAGAGGCGCTCGCTCTTACTAACACCTAGCTTGATCTTCACTCGGTCGTGGGCGTTGTCTTGGAAGAAGAAGCCGTTGTGGATGACAAACTCGGCATTGGATCTTGTGCCATAGAAGATGTAGATCTACAGGAAGAACAAATCAAACCAACTATCATCACCCGTCTTTAGTTTCTTTCAAGTAACATCCAAATAATACACAGAATCTGAACCCTTTGAACAACAGACTGACTCACACTGACAAGGCTGCCTGCAGATTTGTTTTATTGGCCTTAGGAGCACAGATATCAGCCGATACCCTTGTAAATGTTACGTTTTAATCTACCCATTGTTTAAAAAAAAGTTAATTTCATTCAAGTCAAAACAATTAGAAAAAAGCCACACTGCACATGCGCACACTGAGACAGGTGATAGGAAGACAACCTGCAGTTGACTACAACTCGTTACATTAACCTTTAAGTGCAATAGTGAGTATATGAATAATTAACATGATACATGATACATGGTGTAGTTTTATCACAAAAGTTAGCTTAAGTGAGGTAGCTAGCTGAAATGACTGGTGCAATAAAATTTGTAGGGGGCGCTATTGAGACATTTTCCACGCACATGTCCGAGACCCATAAATTTGCCAAGTTTCGCCACAAGTGACCTGTGCGCAGATTTTCAGGACTTTTCGAATATGATAAAGCCTCCAGAGAGGCATCTGAAATGTCCGAATAATAATAATAAGAAGAAGAAGAATGCCTACAATTACAATAGTTATCACATGATTTGTGCTCGGGCCCTAAATAATTTAAAATTACTGAAAAATAATAGGTACATTCAACTTAAAAAAATACATCTGGATTTAGATAAATTAATTTCGGGCAACCACTTGACATAATAACATTTTAAAAAAGTTTTTCAGTGCAGATATTTGGCCTGATTTATCCATCACTACTACATATGAATTGAATTGAATTATTAAAACATTTTAGGGACTTGAGTCATGACCTGAATTCTGTAAAGATCAAAACTTCCATACATTTTATGGACTGGCTGATGTAAATAGAAAGTATAAACTGACCAACTTCTCTGATTGGGCAAGTAAAAAAAATGATTAACCTTGAACCATGTCTTCCTGCTTTAACCTTACTTAGCTGCTGTTTGTGTGTGTGTGTGTGCAGAGAGAATCAAGACAGACAACCAACGTATAAAAGTAGCAGTAGAGAGTGACCTGTTCGTTCTCCTTGTAGTCCTGCAGTGCCACACATTCACAGCGATCATCCTCCAGGTTGTAGCCGGTGGTGATCTGCAGGCCAACAACAACTTTAACCAATTCAACCTTTACCACTGCTCAATAAATTCACCTTTTTGTTCATCAAAAAAAAACTTATTTTGGCATTCATTACCATCCATGTTCCCACCATTTCGAAGAAATCCTTGTCCAGGAGTTTCTTGACAATTCATATAATTTACGGGTAGAGTTAGAATTGAGTTGTGACACATTTTACTGTTACTAGTTTGCTGTTATTCCAGTTTTATTCTAACCGAGGTTTACCTAGGCGTAGGAGTGAGGGGCTAAAATATACTTAAACATTTCGATGCCATTTTAATCAATTTCTAGGTTTTTCCATGACTGGAAATCTAGTCTCTAACTTTCCAGTGTTCCAGGACATGTGGGAACCCTGTGATTGTATGTGTTTAACAACTAATTTGTAAGAGAGGTGCAAAAAAACAATAATGTAATACATCCGTCAAGGCAATACACAACATTATTTAATTGTACTGTTAAATAAGTTAACATTTTATGTGTTATAGCAGTCAATTTGTTATCACGGCATGGGCAGAAAGTTTTCCAAAGTTTTCAACTTCAAGCCTTGTCTCTAATTATGGCACACTTTTAAAATTCTTTGAGAAATTCTTCATAAAGTATGCACGTGTGAGTGTGAGATAAAGACTTTACCAGTCCATTTGTGTGGTTACACATGTCCCAGAGGGGGATGAGAGCCAGAGTGACCCGGCTGCCGTCCTCAGTAGGGATCTGGTTCTGGCGAGTCATGACCGAGGACACGGCCCACCTGTCACATACAATCAACCAATCTTTGTTACAGTGAACTTTATTTACCACAATGACATCCCACACAACAGCAGCTCTTGCTTCATGAGGAAAAAGTATCCAACACTGGTATTGCCAAAGAGAGAGAAGGCTTGCATCATATGAGGATGAGAAAGAGTGCAGGGCGAACAGAGCAGAAAAGGAGAAAAAGAGGAGAAGGAAAATGGAGAGAGAAAGGCAGGGTGAGGAGAAATTAGAGGAATAATTATTTTTTGGCCCACTTTCTTCCTCCTTTAGTTAAATTCCAGTTGATTACTACTTGGTAGTTGTGTTTGGTAGATTTGGCCATTTCACAATCAGAATTCTGAATGTGGATATTGTACATAATTAATAATTTGTTGAGGGAACAGGTGCACAGCGCAGCATTGAAGATGTTCTGCGCACACACACACACACACACACACACACACACACACACACACACACACACACACAGTACAGTCAGCTTTAGTTTATCTTCAATGAAGTTTAGCATTTGCGCCCATTTTGGATTTTATCATCGCAAATGGTGGTGGCAACTGGTAGCCCATAAGTAGCCTATGACAGTGGCTCACAATCTGGGGGTTGGGACCGCACTCAGGGGTGAATTCATCCAAATCACTGAGTTAACTATTTGGGTTCATTGTACAGTAGAGGTGTTGAAATTAATCAAATAATCGATGCATCACGATGCAGACATGGACGATGCTGCATCGATGCAGTGGCCGACCATAATCGATTATAACGCAATGATGTCGCTCGTTAATTTTTCCGGCCACGGCATAAACATTCAAATGAAAAATAACATTCTCAGTAGCCTAACCCGTTTCATCTAGACCAGTACTTCTCAAATAGTGGGGCGCGACAGGCAGGGGGGACTGACGGGGGAGGAGAGATGGAGAAGTTTCTGACAGGAGTAAAAAGAAAAAAAACGGAGGAGGCGTCAGAGGCAAGAACAGCAAGTGACGGTAACCGGCATAAACATAATAAGACCAGAAAATACGACAAAGCCTACATAGCCCTGGGTTTACCGTGAATACGGTCGGAAATGAGGAGACCTGTGTGTGTTTAATGTTTAAAAACTCTGGCAGTGGACAGCATGAAACCAGACAAATTAAGACGGCACCTGGAGACCTTACACCCCAGTTATGTCAATAGGCCACTGGACTTTTTTCATCGAAAGCTCGATGAGTATCGCCAACAGGCCGGTCATTTAGTGAGCGCGGCATCAGTTAATAAAAACGCACCGTTAGCCTCGTACAAACACCGCCACATCGCAAGGTGCAAAAAACCATCACACAATAGCAGAGGAGCTAATACTCCGGCAGCATTGGACATAGTCACAATCATAGGTGAGAAAAGTGCTGAGACACTGAATACTGTCCCTCTGTCTAATGACACGATCAGGAGACGGTGTGTGTGTGTGTGTGTGTGTGTGTGTGTTGTCTGCTGTGTTCAGACTGTTAAATAAAAAAGATTGTTTATATCTTACTACTTGTATTTTTGGATGAAAACAACCATATGAAGTAATATAGAAAACTGTATTATATTGAACTATACAGTATCTTAATGCATTCCGTCAAGTCAAATATCCTATATGGCTTTAATAGAGAAATGTATTTGAAGCATCGTGATGCATCGAGGAATCGAAGACATGATAATCGTAATCGAGATCAGTGACAATTCACACCTCTATTGTACAGTTTTGAATATATTATTATTAGTGTGCCTGAAAAGCACACAATTATTAGTGTGCCTGAAAAAGCACACTACTATTATTCCTCATACTTAATTAGTGTGCCTGAAAAGCACACTACTATTATTGCTCATACTTATTATTCTTCCGTGTCGTTTTTCAGTCCACTACTCCTCCCACAGTTTTGGTCGCACATACACAAAAAAAGGTATCAAAACGTGCAGCTCGGCCGAGACATTAGTGCTATGACATTTCTAAGCGTTTCGCCAAACAGTTTGCAGATAAATCGCCAAAAATCAGGCCAACAAAATTAATGGGTGTGTATTGGTAGAATGTGCGCAACTAGAGGGCGCGACATTATCACTAGAGTGAAGAGTGAGAGAAAAATTTGTCAAAAAAAATACATTTGTAAACCGCTCTCAAGGTCACAAATGTCAGTGTACAGAAATAATTTATAGATAGAAACGTAGGGAAATCCGATGTTGTCGCAATGATAACACTGCTGAAGCTGTCAGACAAATAGTTTTGGCATGAAACGCACTGATGCGCCAGCGACACCCTCTCACGGCCCCATCTACTGCCATGTTAATTGGAGAGGAGAAATTTCAAAAGGAGCTCGTTGCACCTGTTCTTCCTCAATCTCCCGAGGTCACATTTTTTAACTTTAGCCACTGAAACTCGTCATTCCTATGGTCAACAAAATGACAATGCTCATGGTTTTCATTTCGGTCATTCATTCCCCATGGCTCCCTGAGGCTCGCTAATAAATGTGTCAACAATCAGCCACTAGGTGGCGCTCTGGTGGCAGGTTAAATCACTGTGCGGAGACCGTAATAGTTATGAATATGAAATTCACAGGGCACGTGTAGACTGGTGCCTGTAGCTCACATACCAAAAATCGTGTTTGTAGCGCCCCCTGCAGGATTTTAAAAAAGCAGCCATGTACGAAACTGGGTAGGCACGTGTAACGTGCTGAGATGTACAAAAAAGCCTCTTGGACCCATACCCCAAAACCCACGGGAAGTCAGCCATTTTGATTTTCACTTTCGCCAAACTTTTCGCGTTGTATTTGAACAAACTCCTCCAAGGGAATTTATCGGATCTACTTCAAAATTGGTCAGTACAGTCAAACCGCGTGCCAGTGACAACTTGTCGATTTCAGCAGATTCGCCATAAAATAGTACTCATGACTTCAGTGTGCAATGTCCAATCTCCAATAAACTTCATATATTCTGAAACAGTTTTGCCCTGAACACGTCCTCATAACTTCAGCGTATGTGGTCGAATCTCAATGAAACTTCACGTGTGTTATAACAGTCCCGCCCTGAACTTGTCTACATGACAATATTAAGACATAGTGATAGGCAATAGGAAGTAAGCGCTGCGTGGCAATTTTGAGCTGATTTACGTGAAAGCGCGTGTAGCGATGGCACGTGACGCGGCCGCAGCACGCCCCAAGTTGTGTGGAGTGCGAGGTCCCGCCCAACGCTGCTTGCAGCTTTAACCCTTTAAGCGCAAAAGTGTTTTCTCCTAATAGAGTGTTATATCTCATTCATACTCCCCTCCACTAGTTGGCAGACATCCCGTACTTTGACCTTAGCTCAGAAAAAACGTCATGTTTCAATGCAAAATGTTCGAGGAAGACCCGTCCAAACTGTTGGGTGAGAAACCGGAAATAGTGCGCCACGGCGCTATTTATGCTGAAGCGGTATTGCTGGATTTAGGAGTTATTGAGACGAAATAAACGAAAATGGCAGGCAAAAAGTTGACACTTAGGGAAGTGATGGGTCTCCTATTCGCTGACTCTGATTCTGAAGGGGAAAATCTACCTTTGGGAGATGACGGCCGGTCGTTTAGTGAGCGTGATAGTCACGGTGCGTCTTTGCACCGGCGCTGCCGGGCAGAGCGAGGAAAACACACAAGCACAAACACACGACCCTTTGCCTAACATAGGTGGGATTACTACACGAACTCGTAGTATCAGTAGGGGAGCTAATGGATGTGGTAAAAGTAGCGGGGGTGGTGAGAATAGCGCTGGGACCAGCGTTAGTGTTCACTCTTTCTACCGCGCCGGTCACGGTGCGTCCATGCGCGGCAGTGGCTCAGCCATCCGATGCGGATGTGTACCTGTCCATTTGTTAGGCTATGTGGTGGGGTCTCAATATTTTTCATATTGTCTCTGTACTGTGCCTTGCAATGAGAGGTTCCACACTCTACAAATACTACAAACTTTTATCTGGATTGATGGGCACAGATTAGGTCTCTGCAGCTAAAAGACGCCTACTGTTATTATTATTATCATATTATAATGATGATAATAATAATAATAATAATAATGAAGAAGAGAATAAAAAAGAAAAGAAAAAGTGTCCTCCAATAGGGGGGGTGGTACATGGACAACATAACAAATGGATGGAGGTGGGTGAATCTGACGAAATAAGTTCAACTCTCTTTCAAAATATCAGGTATTCCATGGAAATTATATAATCCAATAGGGCCGTCGCCATATGACGTCATAATATGCAAATTAGATGGGAAAATTTACTCCCTAGATAAACTTTAGGTCATTCTCAATATTTGTCTCATTTACACTTTGTATCTATCTCAAACCACTTTCAAGCAAGAGCCTCCTGAAATTTAGATGTCAAAATCTAGTATTTTTCAAAATAAAACCCGGCGCCTAAAGGGTTAATTATTATTATTATTATTATTATTATTATTATTATTATTATAGACTTTAAAAAACTGTAAAAAAAAACCAGAATGATCATTTTTTATTTGCTCCAGTTTATAGGAGCTACTCACATAAACAAGTAGATGATGATGTGAGTAATCAAAAACAGGCCCATTCAGCACACACAGTTATATACACACACTGACCTGTAATCATCAAATGTGAAGTTGTCCTTCAGGGGCAGTTTGCTGGCAGCGGGATGAGTCTAGGGATGGAGGGAAGAAGGTGGATGAGAGCAAAAAATTTTTTTTTTAATTTCCTTAGATTAGATTATACTTTATTCATCCCACAACGGGGAAATTCACTCGTCATGGCAGCAAGTAAGTAATTGGAGTGAAAAAAATAAATACAGATAAAATACAGATATAAAAGCTATAGTGAGTAGTGATGGTTATTGGAAACAGAAACAGAAAGATCTGCAGAACCTCTCCTTCTTACACCGAGGGTGTAACAGTCTGCTGCTGAAGGAGCTACTCAGGGACCCCACAGTGTCATGTAGGGGGTGAGAGGTGTTGTCCATGATGGATGTCAGCTTAACTAACATCCTCTTCTCACCCACTTCCTCTATGGAGTCCAGAGGACAGTCCAGGACAGAGCTCACTCTCCTGATTAGTTTATTGAGGGTCTTCCTGTCCCTGTCCGTACTGCCCCCTTTCCAGCAGACCACAGCAAAGAAGATGGCTGGAGCCACCACAGAGTCATAAAAAGTATGCAGTATGCTGGAGGGGGGCTGCCTCAAAGGGACGCTAACGAGAATGACTGGGAGTAAGGGGCCACGACTGGGGCGCGCCTGAATGTGTGTGAGTGTGTGTGGTCCGTGCAGTGTGACATCCCCTCCCCACCCCACCCCATTCCATCCCTATTTTTGCTGGGAACTATGTGCAGCTGGGAGAAAAAACAGGCAAGACCTCGACTCTCTAGTGAAGCGTCGCAGCACACACAGCTGAACTGCATGTGAAAGGGCAGACAGTGTGCCTGTTCTAATGTGTTAACATGGGAGCTGAAATAAAAAGTGGACCGGGTTCACTGACAACTGCCAACGGCTCTGATTGGTTGTTTTCTTTCAGATGTGGTGGATTGATTTTGACCAGATTTTTTTCACAGATTATCTGTCTTATGTATGATTACTGATATTTTCTCTCCCTGGTAAAGCTACTGAACTGTTTAATACTGAAGCAACTAAAAGCAAAAAAGTTATTTTTTGTCAGGTATTTTATTTCATTGGTGTTTGATTTAAAAAGAACAGAAAACATTGCGTCAGGTTAATATTCAATTCATGTACCATTGTTTTGCTCAGTTGTTTCACTTTACTCTATTCACTGTAAAGGTTATTTAAAATATAGCAATAGCACAGGTGTGCGAGTGGCAGCAGTTCAGCAAGGCAGCCGTCTCACACTGCTCATGTAGGCTTTGCAGGAGACACGGGCATGCACGAGGTACACGCTCAGGCACGCGTGTGAAGATTAAAACGGTAGTGAGGATGATGAACAGGGATCATGCTGTTGTCAGGCATATTCAATTGGATTTTGCGTGCTGACAGCGGTGGATTCTTCCTGTTTGGTCTGTGTCTCCGGAGCTCGATCAGCTGTTGCAGCCCTGCTGGTCACAAAGGTTGCGCGGAAGGGGAGGTGCATGTCTGGATAACTTGCCTCATCTGGACTGTAAAACTCTACCGGGTGCTGAGGTGGGGAAAGTCCAAATGGCTCTCCTTAACGCCCAGTCACTGTCCAATAAGACGTTTATCCTCCGTGACTTTTATGACTCCCATGAGGTGGATGTAATGTTTTTAACAGAGACGTGGTTGCATGGCGGTGAATTAGCGCCCCTGGTGGAACTCTGCTCAGTAATAAATGTGTCAACAAACCGCCACTAGGTGGCGCTCTGGTGGCATGGTAAATCACTGTGCGGAGACCGTAATAGCTATGAGTATGAAATTCACAGGGCACGTGTAGATTGGTGCCTGTAGCTCACACAGCAAAAATCGTGTTTGTAATATTTTTAGAGCCCCCTACAGGATAAGAAAAAAAGCAGCCCCAGCGCCACGTTTCACCGATATGTATGAAACTCGGTAGGCACATGTAACATGTCGAGACGTACAAAAAAACCTCATGGACCCATACCCCAAAACCCACGGGAAGTCAGCCATTTTGATTTTCACTTTCGCCAAACTTTTCGCGTTGTATTTGAACAAACTCCTCCTAGGGAATTTATCAGATCTGCTTCAAAATTTGTCAGTACCGTCAAAAAATGGTGCTGATTAAAGGTTGTGCTATTTACGACATTCCGTCAAACGGCGTGTCCGTGGCGTTGCATCAAAGTCAGCCATTTTAAATTCCGTGAATATGTGCCATCAAAGTTGGCCGTCAAAGTTGGCCATGTTGAATTTTTTTGTCATTTTCTGTGATTTTTCGCCTTGTATTTGAACTTCTCCTCCTAGGGAATTAATCGGATCTACTTCAAAATTGGTCAGTACAGTCAACATATGTTGTTGATTAAAAGTTGTGCTATTTGTGATTGTATATTGAGGGGCATGTCCTTGTTGTGCCGTCAAAGTTTGCCAGGTTGAATCAAATGTCACTGTAATGCCATTTCCAGCATCTTGCATTGATTTTCAGCGTTTTTTTGCGTTGTATTTGAACAAACTCCTCCAAGAGAATTTATCAGATCTGCTTTAAAAATAGTCAGTACAGTCAACATATGTTGTTGAAGGGCGTGTCCGTGGCGTACCGTCAAAGTTTGCCATTTTGAATTTTGCAGCCATTTTCTGCAATTTTTTGCCCTGTATTTGAACAAACTCCTCCCAGGCAATTTATCGGACCACCATCAAAATTGGTCAGTACAGTTAAAAAATGTTGCTGATTAAAAGTTGTGCTATTTGTGATTGTACCTTGAATAGCTTGCCCGTGGTGTTGCATTGAATTTTGACGATTCGCCATGAAATAGATAGTACTCAACTTCAATGTACAATGTCTAATCTCCACTAAACTTCACATATTCTGTAACACATCTACATGACAATATTCAGTAATAGTGATAGTGCCACCCACCTAGTGGTGAAAGGAAGTGTCATTTTTATACTTTACTGTGTATCTTCCAGCAGATTGACCAGATCCAGCTAAAATATTGTAAATATTGTAATTGCAAAATGTCTTAGCCACGCCCCCCAGAAAGCCCATAACCCAAAGTCCTGCCCTGAACACATCTACATGACAATATTCAGATATGATAGCACCACCTACTGGCAACAGGAAATATCAAATTTTATAATTTTAAGTTCTACTCCTATCAGGTTGATCAGATCCAGCTCAAATGTGGTCAGAAAATGCAAAACATATGGTTGATATAATTATTTATGGTAAGAGTCACATCTATGTGATCATATTCGGTAATAGTGATAGCGCCACCTAGTGGCAACAGGAAGTTATCATAACTTCAGTGTACATGGTCCAATCTCAACAAAACTTCACATTTGATAAGAGTCCTGCCCTGAACACGTCTAGATGACAATATTCAGATATAGAGAGAGCGCCAACTACTGCCAACAGGAAGTAAGTGCTGCGTGGCTATTTTGATCAGATTTACGTGAAATGTTCATGTTGTGGTCCGCACGTGTTACGACGGCACGCGACGCGGCCTCAGCACGTCCCGAGTTGCGCGGAGTGCGAGGTCCCGCTCAACGCGGCTTTAATTAGGGATCGAGCACTGAAAGTGCAAGACCCTATTGTAATCTAAGGAATTATTAGGGATCGAGCACTGAAAGTGCAAGACCCTTTTGTAATCCAAGGAATTATTATTATTATTATTATTATTAGGGATCAAGCACTGAAAGTGCAAGACCCTATTGTTCCTGTTAGAATTATTATTTGGTGCCTGTTTGACCGCATATTTGGCCCCCACAACATGCTCGAAAAGTCATGAAAATTTGCACAAAATTCAAACGTAGCGAAAATACCGATATGACATTGTCCCCTCAGTTTGTTTCGTAGAACATTGTGCCCGTGGCGTGGCGTCCTGTGGCATCCAATTTCAAACCTTCGCCATGAAAGAGGGATTTGTCATAACTTCTGAGCTCGAAAAGTCATGAAAATTTGCACAAAATTCAAACGTGGCGAAAATACCGATATGACATTGTCCCCATGCATGGGCGCCGCCAAATGGCTTAGCCACTCCCCCCAGAGTCAGCCCCCAAGACACCTATGACTGACATGTAAGAAAATTTGTACGCACGTATATCATGATGGGACAAGCAAAAAAGCCTCTTGGACCCATACCTCAAACCCAACAGGGAGTCGGCCATTTTGGATTTTGTCACGATTTGCACACGCTGTATTTGAACGAACTCCTCCTAGGGAATTTATTGGACCGACTTCAGATTTGGACATAGCCATCTAAACATATTCACCATTAAAAGTTGTGCTCTTCAGTTTTTTTCGTCAAACTTCCTGCCCGTGGCGTGGTGTCCCGTGGCATCCGATTTCGACCCTTCGCCATAAAAAGAGGGATTCGTCATAACTTCTGCATACATGATCCAACTGCAACGAAACTTCACATATCTCATATAAGAGTCCCGCCCTGAACACATCTATGTGATAATATTCAGTAATAGTCAGAGCACCACCTAGTGGCAACAGGAAGTATCACGTTTTATATTTTAAAGTGCATTTAGGCTAATAACTTTTGTATAGTTTGTCACACATTCAAAAAACTTATATCCACGTGTTCGGTGAATGGAGCTGAATCTCCCCATATAGGCCACGCACATTACCCCCCAGAGTTTTTTTCCGGCTAGAGCGCAAAATGTCCTTAAACTACTTTTTCGTGTTCCTCCTATGTGCTTTGTCCAATTCGCACAAAATGTTGCACGTAGCATCTGGGGACCGTCCTAATAATAAACTAATCAAAAGAATTTTGATATTTCTAAAAATAAGCATGTTATAAAATTAGCGCCACCTAGTGGCAACAGGAAGTAAGTGCTGCGTGGCGATTTTGAGCTGATTTACTGACATTTTCATCTTGTGGTCTGCACTTGTTACGATGGCACGTGACGTGGCCGCAGCACACACCGACAGCATGTGATGCGGCCGCAGCACACCCCGACGCGCGCCGGCTGCGAGATCCCGTTCAACGCCGCTTGCAGCTTTAATTTTATTTGAAATTTGAATTCCAAATTCACTCATCCTTGGGAAAGAAACAAGGATAACAAGG